AACAATATCACCATTTTGAGCATGGTCTCTAAGTAAGTGATGTCGAATCTCAATATGTTTTGTCCTAGAGTGCAAAATAGGATTTTTAGATAAGTTAAAAGCACTAGTGTTATCACACATGATGGGGGTATGATCAAAGGATAAATGATAATCACTAAGAGTTTGTTTCATCTACAGAACTTGTGCACAAAAACTTGCGGCCGAGATATATTCGGCATCGGCGGTAGATAATGCAATGGAGTTTTGTTTCTTGCTAAACCATGATACAAGTGGAAAGCCTAGAAAATGACATGTTCATCTAGTGCATTTACGATCGATTGTGCATCTGGCCAAATCGGTATCCGAATAGCTAAGTAGATCAATGTGAGTGCCCTTAGGATACCAAATCCCTAGAGTTCTAGTACCACTTAGATATCGAAAGATTCATTTTACAGCCTTGAGATGTGATTCTTTAGGATTTGATTGAAATCTAGCACATAGACATACACTAAACATAATACCAGGTCTATTTGCGGTTAAGTAAAGAAGGGATTCGATTATATCTCGATATTTTGTTATATCAACGGACGTACCTTGTTCGTCCTTGTGCAATTTTATATATGTGCTCATAGGGTGTCCATTGGCTTTAAATCATCCATGTCTAACTTTTTGAGCATGTTTAATATGTACTTACTTTGATTGATAAAGATTTCATCATAAGTTTGCTTAATTTGGAGACCGAGGGAGAATTTAAGTTCTCCCATCATACTCATCTCAAATTTCATGCTCATGCACTTAGAGAACTCTTCACATAAACGAATATTAGTGGTACCAAATATAATATCATCAAACATAGATTTGAATAATGATCATATCATTTTTATGAGTTTTAACAAAAAGAGTGGTGTCCGCCTTTCCAATTAAAAATCCGTTTGAAATAAGAAACTTGCTTAATCATTCGTACCAAACTCTAGGAGCTTGTTTTAGACCATAGAGAGCTTTATGAACTTCGAAAACATAGTTCGGATTTTTATGATCTTTAAAATCGGGAGGTTGTTCAATGAAAACTTCTTCTTGAATAAAACCATTTAGAAATGCACTTTTGACATCAATTTGATAAAGAGTGAAATTTTTATAACAAACAAAAGTAAGAAGCATCCGAATGGATTCTAAT